TAAAATGGCAGACATATCATCATACCTAGTTTTGCATATAAACTCTGAGTGCTAGCAGAAGTGCAGGGTTATACTTGCAGAGGCTTTAGCCTTTTAAGTATAGCAATTACAAAAAATGACTTTGCTGCTTCTGGATGGCCAGATTATAGCACTACCATATATTGTACTATTTAAACTCAGGAGACGTTCCGGTGGAAGTAACTGAGAAGAAAACTAGGGAACATGAATGGAGTCTGTGAGCTTTGTGTGTACGAGTTTATAGACCTTGGTTGAAGCAAGACTTTTTGCAGTAAGACTAAAATCAGCTGAGAAGATTCCTTTTTCCCAAAGAAACTAGATCCTCTGCTTTCTAGAGAACTGTTCCAATAGCTATGTTAAGGCTCAGAGTCATCAAGAACAATTAGCACTGACAGCAGTTCTGAGCTTTCTGCAGTCAGGAATTGGCTATTTCACGTAGGTACTTTTTGACATTATATTTTGTAATAAAAAAATAACCTTAGCGTTCCTCGGGAACAAAGACCAGGATGCATCACCTTCCGTTGGTTGTTCGTTAATTGCCAAGAAATTCTCTGTGCTCAGCAAGAGCACAGCTGATTGGGGCAAAAGTTCCCAGTTGCAAACAAACAAGAACTAATCTGTTCTTCTTTTATATTAGGTTGCTAGTTTGCATGTGTGTGAAACTTTATATAAAGCAAGGAAGTTGATTTCTTTTTCTATTACTTTTGCTAGAGAACAAAACTCTCTGTGAGAATGTCCGTCAACCTGAAACTACAGTAACTGAAATGACTTGGGATTTCCCCTGTATATTGGGATTTTATTATGGCCCCAGCTGATTACAACCAGATTTTTCCTACTGGGAACTCCTGTTTTAAGTCGTAGCTACCTTTCAACAAGTAGCTCTTTCAACAGCAAGGGCTCCACACCATCTTCTTTGCTGATCACAGTGGACAAACATGCAAAGGTAAATTGCCAAATCAATATAGCTCTGCAGATCATGTTATCAAGAGTGCCTGCAAGGTATTTAATGTATAGCATAGTGACTTGATGAAAGGGACATAATTAAATACACTGGTAAATATTTAATACTAAGAATAATAAGGGAAATGTATGTGCCACAAACCGAATGTCAGAATCCGAGTGGCATAGAGTGATGGAATCTAGCAAATCTGAGGCCCGCTTGACCTAAATGAGACTTTTTTTTTTTTTAAACACATTGAAACAAGTTCAGATAATTTGACTACTACAACCAGTTCAAAATCCAGTTGCTTGCTTACTAAGTGGTGTTTCTCAAAGAGATCACAATGCACCAGTATTGCCCTCCCCTCTGTCCTCTTTGGGCTACTGAATGATTTCCAGAGAAATCATTCTGGCTTCACTTATAATGCCTCAACTAATTGGAATCCTGAATACCTTGCCAGTGTGTTGATACCACAGTGTCACTTTCCAAGATCCTCAGGAAGAAAGCTCTCCAATGGCTACAATGGGTAAATAAAGCAAGGGAGGTATCAGGAAATTCATTCGTGGTGACTAGTTGCTTTCTTTCCTTTAAACCTGAGATCGTTTGTTTTTCATTACAGTTTTTCATTACCTTAATTTTTCTTTTTTTCTAACATGTTAAGAGTTCCACCATTTACTTACACTTTCTATAGCGTGTATTCCAACAAGCAGTCCCTTTGGTATACTGAGACTTCTAGTGAATGTTTAAGGTCTGATTTTGTTTCATCTAGGTAAGTAGCAAGACTTCAATCATTTACATTGGCATATCATGATACTGTAAATAGCAGCATGGATAGACACTGAAATACAGATTTTAGACAAGGCTATTTAATATTTGTTCTTTCAGTTCAGTGGTCCCATATATCTGTTTGACAGTGATTAGAGATGATGCTTCTTTCAATGCTTTTCTAGCCAATACCACTAGAGATATGTTAACTGGATATGCTTATTTAAAAACACAGGGAACTATACTAAAAGTACAATATAAGGCTAAAATCAGCCACTTCAAAATTAGAAAATGTCGCAAGTACTTTTGCTTGACCATATGTGTATCAATGCTACTTCTACTGTATTCTATTACTACTTTCGCCACTAGAATCCCACTGTATGCTGCACAACGAATGGACAATGTTGAAGTAATCTCTTGGGCATATGTTAAAGAAACTCTTTTCCGCACAGCTTAGCTGGTTCTCTGCGTTCTTTTGTTCCAGGTATCATCAGGTGACACTGAGAGAATCACTGACTTACAGGACCTTCTCTAATCCCCTCTACTTCGGCTCTCCTCAGCGCACACACACGCACACACACGCGCACACACACACACACACACACACACAGGTAGTCAACACAGATCAGATAACTGGTGTAAAAATTAGCTAAGCATGAGCCAAGCTAATCATTTAGATAGAACAGAAAATGGCAAACAAACTTGCCTTTGGGCATTGTTATCTTTAACACCTAAAACAAAAGGAGATTCAGATGTTAATGGTGTTGGATGTATGTCATCAAATAAGCATTATAAATAATAATAGCATGTTCCTAAAGACTCTCTCCTTTTTTTTTCCTGTTAGACATTGTTCCCTGATTGAAGAACATAGAAATGGGGGGTTGGTTTGTTTGTTTCTATTTGTTCTGTTTTCTTCTGTTATTTTTTCATATTAACATGGAGGATTATTTTCTAGGAAATGCAGGCAATGTTTTGAGAATGATAGCGTGGGTTTGTTTTAAAATAGAGGTGCTTCTTCCCGTTCCCGGTATGGCTCCTTTTGGAAAGCCCCTTTCATAGTATTTGAATGAAATCAAAACAAACGAAGTTTGAAATTAATGCATTTAGTTAAAATACATGCAGGTTGGAACATTCCTGTTAAACACAACCTCCTCATTGCTGTTGTTTTTATTACAGACCTGTAATAGCATTGTGTGATGTAACAGTCTTTCCGAAAAGCCAACAGTAACAATGAGTGCTTTCCCCTTCCCAGCCTTTTACTCTATTTAGTCCAATCAAGAAATGGATTTAAGGACAAGGAGTTCTAAGAGGCATGGCAGCTGGGAAGCCTGGTTTCCTTTTGAATATGTGGGATGGATTCTCTCTTGTCCAAGGAACACCAAGCTCCCACTGCAGCCTCTCCCTCAATGAGGGCATTACTAGACTCTTTCCTCTTTATCCTAGTCATCTATTTCCATGAAGCTTTACAAAACTTAATGACTTTGCATCTTCAGCCAGCTTTGGTTTAAGTTATCCGATGAGTTAAAAAATTAGAAACACGAGTTTATAAAAAGGAGCTGATGCATGAAGATACAAAAAATGTTCAGTGTGCTCATTGTAGTCTTATTTCTTTTTGTAAAATAGGCCAAAAAACCCCGCTGCGTCATCAGACCTGGGAAAGTCTTCTATTTTTATACTTTTTTATATTCATATTCTTTATTGTTGGGGAGTTCTTGTTATCCGATATATTGGCCTCAGTAGTATAACTGACAGACGTTAAATCATGTATGTGAAAGAGTCCTTCCAGGCAGTAAGTTATGTTGGTTCCTGTCTTTCTGCCATTGATAGAAGTTGATCAGGAAAAAAAAGGAAAAAAAAAAAAAAAAGACAAACAGAGCTCATCAGTTCCCCTGACTTCTGTGCCATTTAAAACAGCACTTCATAAATCAGGAAAATTGCCTAGTGGCATGTTACAGCACCAGGTTATGACATTTTCCTGCCAATTTTTAATTAGATAGGAAAAACTAGAATTTGGACCCTCAGATGCTTAGCTGTCTGTCTACCTCAAAAGCATACCTACCACAATCAGCTGTTACAGCTAAGAGATTTTATAAGGTGAGAAGTAAGCTGATAGAGTGATGGAAGGAGGTTGAATTTGAAAGTATATGTCAAGTACACAGTATACCTGTTTTTTATAAGATGGAATTTTGGAGAAAAAGTAAAGGCAACAGGTTAAAAAGAAATGGGTTACAGGTATGAGTTAAAGAAGATGTTGACATCATCCCAGGATCCCTGTAGAACGCTATCTCAGAAACCTCTCATCTTTTGGTACTCTGTTGTAGTGGCAGTGAGGTGGCTGTGGGTCTTTAATAAAATGATGAATTATCCTACTTTCAGTATTTTCTAATTTCTTTTCTTCCTCTTTTTGCTGATAAGAGTGAAAGGAGGGGAAAAAGCATGGGCGTGAGAACACAAATTCTCATTATTTTCCCGAGCACCTCAGAGTGGTTTTCAAGGCAGTCTATCCTTTTCAAAGTGGCAAACTTTTACTTTTGTCAAAACCTTTAGGGCAGAGAAGAAAGCTGGGTGACACCTCAAAGCAACTGAAACCTTTCCAGGTGTCAGAGCTACCAAATGTTATCCAGCATAAGAAATCAAAGCGAACGAAACAACGGGTGACAGTCCAAGGGACGATTGTCAGCAACAGGAATTGATTTCAAATGGGATTGAAAGGAAAAAGAAGGATTCTCAAGACGACTCTCTATGGTATGTCAGTGTTTAAATGACGACTTGTAAAGCCTAAACCTTGGCAGAGTTACCCTGTGTGGTTGTGAGATTTCACACAGTCATTCAAACAGGAGTAAAATGACTGTATTGAGAAAATAAGTGTGATTCTTACTGGGAACTCTCTTGAGGTTTGGTTGCAGCTCTCAGTACGTGGCAGATGGACAGGGCAGGGCTTGGAGTCATGCCTGACCAAGGCTTTGGGGAGGTGAAGTGCTTTCTGAGGGCAGCCTATATGACTCAGGGACCCGCGTTTCTCTGCAGCCAGCCACGTTCCTCGGGTGACAACCTCGATGCATGCAACCAGCTCACAGAAACCCGACAGCTCCGGGACTAGTGATTGACGCGGTTTGTTTTTGTTTTGTTTTTCTTTTTTGGGCAGCCCCCCCTCCCTTTCCTTCCAAATTGTTTTCTCAGCTTGATTGAGTCTCAAAGCCTGCTGCCCCCGCCTCTTGAACGGCTGGAGCAGCTCTGGGCTGGAAGAGCAGAGCCCCGCGGCACGGAGCGAGGTGAGGCTTGGCCAGACCCTGGGTGTGCCGTCCCAGCGCCATCCCAGAGGAGCGGCCCAGCTCCCTGACCTGCGATGCTGGCAACTGGGGAGAGTTAATGCTGCCATCACAGATGGCTGCCCGCAGCCTGGCACTGGGGCTGTGGCTCCTGCTGCTTCTTCAGGACATCCAGGCAGCCCCACAGGTAAGGCAGGGCAGCTCTGGGATCCAGCAGCCCCCACAGCGTGCCCCTGGCCCCGGGGGGCTGGGGCGGTCTGGGGGCACCCTGGGCTGCAAGGCGATTCCTCCCACCAGCTGGGTGCGCAGGGCAGTGGGCGTCTGCAGGAGCTCCGCGCAGACAGATTTAGCGCAACACAGTGCAATAAAGATGTAAAGGCAGCTCGCACAGAGCAGCCAGGAGAGTTTGTCCTCACTGGGGACTCTGCAGGCAGGAGCCAGCGGGTAGGAGCCACGATCCACATCTTTTGGTGGGCATTGGTGGTGTTACTGCACCTCCAGGCACATCACAGCTACAGAATAAGGAGAGATTTGTTGGAGGGGGAGAGGAAGGGGGAGAGAAATTGTTCTCCTTTGTTTTGGGTGAGTGGCTTTTATTTTTGCCTGGAGGGCCAGGTGCTCTGTGACAGGCATGTTCCTTGCAGAGCTTGGCTTGGAGGGCTTCCGCTCTCTCTGCTGCTGTGAGTCTGGGTTGGCAAAGTGAAAGGTATAAAGGCAAACAAAACAATAAAATACCTTCCTCTTTACAGCCGCCCACCCTTTTGACACTGACTTCCTCATGAATGGGCCGGGATTTCTGCATCTAATTCACTTAAAATAGACATAGCCCCCTAGTCACACTCAGCTGATGCTGTATTGCAAGCTAACTCCCTGCTCAGATCGTATCAGTTCTTGCGGGCTTATTCCCCCTCTCCCTCCATGTCATGTTCCCCCATTTCCCGTGGATCATGCGGCAATGAGCCCTCAGTGCCTGCCCTCTGGCTGGCAGTTATGCACACGTGTAGAAATGATCAAAGTCACAGAGGCTCTTTGAATAGGTAAAGTTAAGTAGGTATCTAATTGCACACCAGATTGGTTCCTGAAATTGGCCATTTCTCCTGGCAGTGGAAATATTATCCTGTGCCAACTTGAGACACTTGTCTGTACATTGTAAATGAATAATATTGCAGGTCACTTGGGCTGCCAGGAGAATTTTAACTAGAAACTGACTCTAATTCGATGTGATCTTTGAAAATAACCATGTCCTGCATTGCCTTCACAGACATTTGAAAAGGAGCCTCCTGGCTTTTTGTTAAGAGTAGGAGTTTGCTCTGGTGTCTTTAGCTGTGAATTCCCCTCCTACATTGCAAGTTTGCTCTGCTTTGCCCTGATTATCTGCCCTGAAATACAGCGATTCCTCTGTTCTATAGGACTGGAGGCTGCAGTCCTAACTCACTTCAGGAATACTTAGGGGGTCACTCAGATAAGGATGCCTGATCTACTGTATGCAAACTGCTTTGAGGGAAAGGCATTAGAAAAAAGATGGTATTTTTGCTATTTAACATCCCTTTGGTGTTTTGTTCACAACATGACAGGAACAGAGAAAATTTGGTTTTCTAATCCTTGTTGACGTTCAGATTCACTGCAAAATCATCAGTTATCTAGAATACATACTTAGATCTTGCTGGAATAAGCAATTGTGTTTCTGTACTGCGTCTGTCACATCAGTCTGCTTCTGCTGCTACTGGAAAACAGGTAACACTTTAATGTGAACAAATAACACATCCTGAGATGATGTCAACGTGGTTATATTTTAAACCATATTCCTCCTCACTTCAGCCTGCAGTTTGGAGTTTGTTTTAATATTCAGGTAACTCTCACTTGTTAATAAAATCTCTACTATCAAGCAGATGAAGCTTAACTACTTAAGGTCTTAGATGATCAGCCTGTGTCTTTAATAGTGTCAGAATTTCGATAGGAGCTCAAAAGGGGAGTCAACTGTATTGCTATAGCATTACTCAGTTCTAGAACAGCCAATGCTGGTAGGATATTTTTTTTTTACCGTAATATGCTTTCTTCTTGACTTACAGCTCATCTGTAGCAAGCTAGTTTCTTACTCTGCCTCACCATCACTTTTTCTCTATGAGCTCGAAGACCATAAATGAATGAGTCAAACCTTGTCCTGACTGAACTGCAGAGTAGCTCACTGAATTCAGCACCATCTTTGCAATAGCCATTATTTAAATTGGAATAGCAAATTTGTAGATAAAAGGATAGTGAGAAGAGCTATAAAGAGCCTATTTTCTAAAACAAATTATCAGAAACAAGCACTGAAAAGTCCAAATGCCCTGTATCAAATAAGCGTTTGCCTTATTTTATTGAGTCTTAGTCTGTAAAGCTTACCAAAAAAAAAAAAAAAAAAGCTTGTCTGTTGGGACATTGAAAGTGGTAGCTCAAGGGATCCCTGGCCGTAGAGCAGTCCCAACGCGACATGAATTATGATCTTTTCTTTCTGAGCGTGTAATCCAGCTCCTGCTAAATCAAAAACCTTTCACTGACTGCATGGAGAAAGAGAATAGTAAAATTCAGTCGCGGTCTCCAGTATAACAGTACACTAAATCCTGTTTAAGAAGTCCTTGTAGTAGATCAAAAGCCAAAGCAAAGTACTAACCTGATATAAACTGATGTCGTTTACATTTGTTGCGAGGATGTGGACAGATTAACTCTATAGTGGCAGGCTTTCTGCTACACGAGGGGTTGTTTATTACACCAGCCTAGCGTCTTGCTAGCTTGACTACTTAGCTGTTCTCCCACAGCTGGCATAAAGCAGCATCACCTCTACATTGGGTCCCCAAGTCCAATCCAGATCAAATCAGTTCTGATGTAGTATATAGATCCAGAAATAATGCCTGCGAGGTTTCACGTTACAGCGGTGCCAGTCAACAGAACTGTCACACAAAGGGGAGGCCCTGTTCCTGGCTACGCTATGACACCAACGCTCTTACACTGAAGTAAGTGACTGAGCAGCCGCAGAGTTGTTTCAGTACAGTAACCCGCTGAAAATGCAACTTTACAAATTCAGAAAGGAGAAGTTTCTGTCGGATCAGCTCCTAGAACTGATTCATCCTCTGGCCACACAGTTGCTCTATCTGAATCAAAGAGTTCGAGGGGAAGGAACATGTGGGTACAAATTGGAGAGGGGAAGTAAGACGGCACTCTGTGATTGCAACAAGCCGCTGGATTAGCAGAGCTGTTACAGACCCATATTTCCATGTTGTTAGTTCACTCTTGGCAAAGACCCGTGCAGTCAGAGCTTCCTCCACATCAGAGGGAAGGACAAAGACCTACTCTCCACCACAGCTGGATTCCTTGCTCCCCATTCCTTGATACTGCTATAGTCTTCCTTTAGTGTTGAAGTCCTGTTACAATGTATATTCATTAACTGAGCTGTCAGTACTCGTGGAGGTAGAGTCTGCTTTTTTTGTCGCTGGTTGTGTTTACTGCTAGGCCACGGGTATAGGCTAGACAGGGGATAAGGATTTGAAAGGCTGAAGTTGCATAGTTAAATATTTTTCTTTTGACAATCAGTCAATATAACATGCCATTGAGATAAAATTGGGGTTTCTGCGTTGAGATTGGATGGTCTTTTGCAGAGAGGACAGGGAAATGTACAGCGTATTCCTTCTGCCTCCTTCAGGCAGACGATACAGAAGCTGCCTTAAAAAGTGAAATTGTTAGGCTTTTGCATTTTCCTGACCAAAGATGCTGAGTTTTGCTTCTGTTTTGAGATTCAGATTAGAGAGTAGGTAAGGAAGAAAGAACAGTCAAGAGATGAAAGGAGAAGAATACTTTGAATATTAATTAAAATAAGATTTTGAGGTGACAGCATTTCATTCTGTTCCTTGTAGAGATGAGGAGAGTTAACTTTGTAAAGCTAGATGGAGATTTCCTTGGTGAAGCAAAGCCGGATGCTAGTTACTGATGAGTATGAATTTTACTACACTCCTCAGTGTCTCTAGACTTTCAAGGAAGAAGAGGAGGACATTGGGCAGAAGTGAAAGTTCTCACACACAGATCCTTCCCTACAAATTAAGCAGTAAGGGGCAAAAATGATGAAGTGAATCTTTCCTCACTGGCTAATTGACAATTTCTGTAAGTTTACTGGAAACAGAAAAAATGACCAACGCTCTAAGTAGACAATTTCCTACCATTTTCTTTTCTGTGGGCCTCAACGCACAGACTATACACCATGGGATCAAAAAGGTAAAACCCTCCAGCAGTCACAGCTGATACTTCTTTTCAAGAAGGTGGTATCACTGAGGTTTTGCAACGACCAATGAGGCTGAGCAATGATAGAACCAGAAATGGAACCGCCAGTCTTGAACGTTAGAGCTGCAGGGCCTTTTCCTGCCCTCAGCCTCGTGGCTGTCGTGTCGCTGTGGGTACGTACAGGGGTGAGCCAGGAGATCCAAGCTCAGTGCTGGGCTAGTCAGACAGTAGGACCTCACCTAAGTCATGTTGATATTTACCAGCTGAGGATTATAGAGCCTCTCTGTGTTCCAGGTTCAGTCCGTAGTAGGCTACCACTACATAAAAATGGCAAGTTGCCATTGAAAGCAGACATGCCCTTTCAGCAACCTTAATTTCTAAGAGGTTATTTGAATACATTGCCCCCATAGTTCTGGAGAAATCTGATGTTTTTTGGCCAAGCCACTGAAATATTTTTGGCTTTTTAACAATCTTGGTTAGTCTGCCTTACAAATATTTCCTAACTCAGCATTTAGTCTGCCTTCTCTCCAGGAAGAGCAAGACAAATATGCATTAAGTATTTTGTGGTTCTTCCAAATTTGGATGGATTTGATGGTTGATGTCCACATTTCTGCGATAGCTGAGGAACAAAAAAAAAAAAAAGAGAAAAATTACGTCGATCATATCACTTGGGGTCTTCTTACATGCAGCAACCTAAGATCATGGTCCAATTAAGGAAATCCGTAAGGTGGTATCTTTCCAATATCTTGGCACAAAGCACTGAGTCACAAAGAGAGAGGGGTTGGTAAATCTGAAATCTATAATCCTCGGTGCTTCTTGGTGAGATATTTCCTTGCAGGCAGTTTAGTCTCTCTCTGTTCCTGACTTTGTCATTGACCTATTCATTTTGTTGTGCTTTTGTTTCCTTGTTGGTACAATTAGGATAATGGTAAAGAAAGATAGCTTCAGAGCATGTATGAAGCGGTAACAAGATGATGTGTTTAGCTGCCTGTATAATACTGGCTCCTGCTGCTTTCTAAGCATGAAAATTTCTCATGGAAAAATAGCTGTAAATTTTTACTGTCGTGGAAATCTTGCAGTGATTTATGAGACAGAGAAGTCTAAGGCCAAGAACTTTTCCTGAAAAAAGTTTTAGTTTTGGCTTTGACAAAATAAAAACTAGCGTATTTGCTGAATCACAGAACGGCCAAGCGCTTGCTTTCTGTAAAAATCGTATTAATGTTGCAAACACAAGATTTCTCTGGAAAAAAACATGTTCCAAGTAGAAAAACAATTACCAGTGCCAGCAAAAAGATTACCTAGGAACTGTGCTTGGTTCCGTGTAAGTTTTATGGTCAGCAGCTTGAGAGGGATTGCTGAGAAATGAACTCTGCGCTTCGATAAGCCGTTGTAAATCCAACTGATAACGACAGAAGTCTAGCTCTGCTCTTCCTGCGAAGTCCTGGTTAAGTACGCTTTCGCTAACTCACCTGTGTACACAAGGCAACATGCCCAGGTTTGAAGTTACAAATGGACAGCAAGAAAGGTTTGCTCTTTCTCTCCTGTGTATGCAAAGATACTTCAGCAAGTTTCTCTGCTATGTTGCAAGACACACAAAACGCAGGGCGTCCAACGTCAAATTTAACCGAGAGTTTGAACACGCAGGGAGATTGTTTCCAGAGGAATATAGTCGTCGGGTTTTTAGGAGTCTTAGTCATCGTTTCAAACTGGCTGGGTGGCACAGCTCAGCTGCTTCACCTATTTTCTCTTTCCATCTCCATACCTCACTTTTAAGGTAGAAAGGAGTTGTTTCCAGCAATCTCTTCCTGAATGGAAATACTGAGCTCATTTAAAAAAAAAAAAAAAAAGAGAAAAGCCAATGTTTTAGTGCAAACTTGCACCCTAATTAGAGAGGAGGTGTAGGAGGTAGTATTTTGTGTGTGGGTAGAGTGGTTGCAGGTGGTGGAACTGAGGTAATTCACACCTTCAGCTGTTGAGTGTGTAAATTACCTCCGCTCAGGCCTACTGCTACCCACTAATAACGCATATGTTTGTTCCTTCTTTACCTCCTATCTTTGACTGGCCATCATTTGTTGTAGTTCGTTTATTGCCCTGATATTCATTACACATAGGCAGAAAAAAGGAAACAATTAGTGTTATCCTTGTATGCCTGTCACCCCTTCACCCTCTCCCCGAACGTAGCCCAATCAGATGTGCAGAAAATGAGTTGGCCCCGTTGTTTTTTGAAAGGTTTGCCATCTTTGGAGACCTTGGCCCTTCCCCTCTGCCCTTTTTGCAAGGTATGGTCTCTGCCTTTCGGCACCTATTTGCTTAAACGCCACACAAACTTGGAGAGGGGGGGTTGGGGGTTCTTACTGCAAGCTTTTTTTTTTTTTTTTTCTTAGCTTGGGGGCATGAAATCTTCAAATTGAGCTCATGAACAGCCTAGTATATGTTAGAGAAGCAGAGCCCATATGATTTTGTTAAAATGACTTTTTCTTTTTCCAGTAGAGTGTCTTGGACTTGGCTCAGTGAACGGTAAAGGGTGCTGCAGCGCTGTGCTCGTGGCTGGCTTCTTGGAAGCTGCGTTTACCGTGAGGCTGCAGATTTCATGTAATATATAGCTGGCTGTAGTATCTAGCTGCCCTCTTGCGGAAAGAAAAAAAATTGTGTTGAGTACTCTCTTTCACATGTCTGTTTTCATAATTTATGCAGTATTTATGTATAAGTCTTACAGTAATTTGTCACAGCACTGGCATCAAGGCAAATTCATGACCAGGATTTACATCACTGAAACTAGGGGCAGAATCCGATACTAAAAACTGATGATTTCGATATTTTAAACACAATCAGTTTTTAAAAACAGCCCCTTCCTCTCGCTTGTAGATAGACACTATTCCTGTGTTTAAACCCGAGAAGAGGCGATTAAATAAGCTGTAAGCTTATATTTTGCATAACTTATTCAAGAATTTTGTTCCCATCCTGATTTAAAATTCCGCATCATTTGCAGCCAGAGTTGGTTGCACAGGAGAACCAGGAAGAGAGGATCAGATTTTCGTGTCAACTTCCCGGAGATCTTATGGAGAAACTAATCCATGATGACTTAGATATAGCCAGGCTGCTGTCATTTCTTAAATTTTCTTTATAAATCTCAGCAATCCACTCCGCATCACTGAAGCAACTCCTGAATGACCCTTTGTCTAAGCATGACTGATCTCATTGTGTCATTTCCTGTTATTTAATTTAGTCTTAAGAGTGGCTGGCTCACCTGGGTGCTCTTCCACACAGATGCAAGGAGATTCCACTTCCTTTTCCTACAGTCTAAGGCTATCTCTTCAGAAAAGAAAAATACAGGGCACGCATTTGTAAACTTAATTTGAGTCAGGTTGAGGGAGACATCTGCTATTTCCTCTATACACTAAGCTAGAAAAAAATGCTTTGTAGGGAGGCTGTGTGGCCTAGTGGTTAGTGCAGAAATGTGTCAGGCAGGATTTCTTAGTTCTATTACTGGAGCTGGATGAATTTTAATGGTTTCGATATGTTTCTATTTCTAGTTCTTTTGTTAATTTCCTCATTGACTGAAAGCTCCTGTTTTCTGATGTAACCTTGGACAAGTTATTTAACTTCTGTATTTTGTGCTCCCATCGTGAAAAGAACAGTATATTAAATAGCAGGATATGGTATGAGATTAATTGGCCGTTAAGTTTCTGCACTGCATATAAAGGCAGTAGGAAATCATAGATTTTATTTCTAACAGCAATGGGAAATTCACCTGCAGAAACCAGGGCATAGATTTCCTGAAATCTTTGTTAACTGTTCTAGCATTATCATGTGGGAAAATCTCTGGATAACCTGCTGATTCAGTTTCTCTACAAAAAGTTTCCAGTTATACCTTCTGGCAAATGTTGAAAATTAAGTTCAAATAACGACATTTTTAGGGGGTTATTAGGGGAGACACCACATTTCCCAGTGTGTAGTGGCCTCAGCCACACAGAAGTGCAGTCTGATTATCTGCTTCCTGATACAATTCGTAGCTGAGTCTTTTTCCTAAGCTAATATTAAAACTTTTTTTTTTTGGTCTAAACAAGTATCAGTGATGTTGTCAAAGCAAAGGTTGTTGTTGAAAACCTTTACTCACATAATAAATGGGATTAGTTATTTGAATAAGGGCTTCACTGTGTGAATAAGAATCTGTGGCATTCCTTTCAAGGCAAAAACTACCTGTAGGATTTGTCCCCAGATTATAAGTAAAACTTTTTTTTTTTTTTTGTTACAGTGAATACATGTTTAGGTTGTTCAGTTCAAGAATTATGATCACACAAGTATCTGAACAAAAAGACTTGTGTGCTACATAGATAAATGATGTACAGGCAGCTAGACACAGTAATGTGAGCAAATGGAGAACTGTGGCAACATAGATTTCACAGGGTGGATGTGTAGAACTAATATAGGACTAGATATTAATTTAAATGATTATTTTTATGGATTATAATCTGGCTAGATTTAGTGTTTACTGTGACACCACCTGTTATTCCAGTGTACACAGCTCAAAGTCTATTACAACTGTGTAGAGAATTTTTCTTCTACAAAATCCCTATCTCAAGTTAAGGTGCAATGATTTTAGGACTGTGACTTTTAGCCTTTTTTGACTTTCTAACTGCTACAAGATTTCTGGTGAAGGTGCAGACTAATCTAACAAATAGGCAAGCGTTTTTTAGTGATCTTGATTGGCCCTGCAGCTAGGTTCTGAAGGGTGTCTGGAGCTTTAGGTTGAAAAGCATTTTTTGTAGGGTAACACCACTGCCCTTTTACAGTATGAAACAGGGACTTGGCTTCTGACTGCTGAAATGCTTGAGGCACAGGTTGGACTACAGTATTGCGATCCTACGTTTTAATCACGTTCAGGGAAAAGAGTCTGCTGAATGAAGATACATACTGAATCATTCCTAAATATATAGAATATTGCAGTCTTTGCGTAAGTTTATGTACAGTAGCAATCTAGTTGCTTTTGGGTACGCGGGCTTTCAAAAAGCTGTAGACTTTTCCTTACCATCTGCAACCATCGTTGCTAACAACAGGATACTGTTGTTTACTGCCCTCATAGAGCAGTAAATGTTTTCTAATTGTGTCTTTGATCTGCTTAAATTTCTAGACATCATTAATCACATCTCATTCCTGTGACACACTTGAGAACCAGTTCTACGATGAAACTTTACGAAGATGCTGTTACAAGTGTCCCTCAGGTCGGTATGTTTATAATGCAAACAAATTAACATGGGGCTTTGTGGTAGAGATACTAGGAACCATATATATCTGCAGATTTGCATTTTGGCCCTGGAGAAAAGTGCAATTTCATGAATGACTCTCTGGTATGGATCCAGACATGAATTTGATTTTTCCAGTGCCCTGTTCCTTGTTCAGTCTGCGTGCAGAGAAGCTGTAAAGCGCAAACAGGATAACTTGCCAGAGTTTTGTATGTATTTCTTGTTGGTCGACTTGACACTCAGAAGTAGCTAGAAGTAGACAGGTCTAAGGACTCATTTCAACTTGTCTCAGAGCATGAAATAGCTCAATTAAATTATGAGGCTAAATTTGTTTCTGATCAAACACACACAAAGTATAGAATGATGGTGTGGAAAATCTGCCATTATCCTCGTAGTCAAAACAGTTCAGAAAGTGTCTCACATGAGAAAGGGAACAACCCCTTTTCAGGGGACAGAATAAAGTTTGTCAGAAGCTGGCCATGACTCAAAGGCACATGGAGTCAGAAGCAGGAAATACCTTTGTGAGACGAGTCCTGGAAATGTCTGAAACTCCCCCTATTGGCCAGAAAGCCCCTCAGTGGGTGGGGCATTTTATGGGACTTCACCATCATCGATTTCTTGTTCTAGAAATGTTTCCTTTTTCTTTTTAAAAGGAAAATTTTGACATTTATTTGTGCTCTAATAACATAGAATGGTTTAGTGCTTGGTTGTCAGCATTTGCATGAAGTTATATCAAGGTCCCCACTGGGACATCCTGCACTGTTCCTGAGCACACCACTAGAATCCTTCAAAAGACATATGAGTAAACAAGACCAAGGGACAGAGAAGCTGGTTCTATAAAAAAAAAAAAAAAGGCATGGGAAGGTGCTGATTTTGAGCTGATACCAATAAAAGAGGCTCTTTTCTCCTTCAAAGCCATATTTTGCAAAAATTCCCACAATGGCAGATGTCATAGCAGGGTCTCTAACAGACATCTGATCACTATCTGGTTGTAATGAGCCGCAGCTCTTGAACATTTCACCTCTGTATATTCCTGAAACTTATTTTGTGGCCACATCCTCATGTGTCAGTCCTGGGCGTTGCTTCACATCCTCCAGGGTTCACTTCACATCCTCCAGGATTTCCTTCACAACAGGAGCTCATAAGAATGTTTTTCTTTCTAATCTTCCACTATTCCTTCAAGCTGTAACCTGTTCTTATCTGCTACTGACTCGATTGCTCACTGTAGAGAAAAAGTGCTTCTAAAGTGCCCTTTAATGAGAGTGGAGCATCTCAAACTCTTGATGCAGCCTGGCTTTACTCTGCTTGGTGTTCTAGCCCGCATATGTACAGCTTTCACTCTGAGCACACTGACCCACGTGGAAGCCATATCCTCTGTTTCAAAGTTAATTTCAAGCTCAATTTCAAGATAAGCTTCAAACCAAACCTCAAAAGATCATTCTAATCAATTTATGTAGTTGCCACTTCTCTTTTCAAGTACTTATTCTTCTCCAGGTAAGATGAGACTTCATCCCTGGGACAGCAGGAGAGCCTTATCTTATTGTCATCACAGAACAAAGCATTTGAACAAAGCATGCCTCTCGAGGGGAGGAACAGAGATTTTCATGGCGAATAATGGCATATGGTAGAACAGCTCATATTATGCAGAAGCTGACTATTCCACTTCACTTCTGTTTATGTGTTTTTGGTGTTTTTTTTTTTTTTACTTTGTTTGTTTTAGCCTCTAAATCAGATATCCAGTTCAACAGGATAGTGCTGCAATCAATACTCAGATAATTTCCCACTCACAGTTAACAGCTATTCCTCAAGAGTGAATGAATGCACATACTCAGAAAAGAAAAACACTTATATCATGTACTTACTTTCGGTACATTTTTTCTGTACAGGTTATTGCAGCTGGTATTCTTACTGCTCAGGCTTTTATCTGTATGTTGACCTATGAACGCATTGAGTGAAGGACAGCTCCCAAAGACACTGTTGGGCAAGCTTCAGCGCTAACACACCTGGAGCACACACCCCTCAAGAGAGACACCCATGCGTGCAGGAAATTTCAAAGAGCTGAAGTCATAGCTTCTGGGAGGTTGGGAGGAGGGAAATGACACACATGCAGGTACACGTGTGCAGTTCAAGTGCTGAGATTCAGACCATTCCAGCAATCAGCCCTCACCTTGAAAAGAATAATTTCAGACAAGTAGTTTTGAGCAGATGGAAGTGACATGGTTCAGGCTTGTCTGGTGGTATTTAGTAGGCTAAATATAGCATAGCTGCTTTTACCTGCACTCCCACAACGTATTTGCCAAAATACTTAGTAGGTGGGTTGTTTTCCTGCCAGGTTTCCCCTCCCTGTTGTTAACCCTTTCTGATTGGATGATGTAGGCTGTATGCTAAAGCTTGGTTTTATTTCTCTCTTGTTTGCCATCTGTGACACATTTAACTCTTTGCCTACCTTTATGTTGCTGCTTTAGCTTTTCCTTTTGCCTCTGCAACTGCTACTGTTCCTTACCCTCTGATAGTTATTGCCACCTCCCAGCAAGGACACAAGGTCACAGCTGACTGCTGCGCCTTCTAATCTCCTTGGCATTATGGCCAGCCGTAGAATACCTAATGTGTTGCTTCAGGAGCTGAAATGGTAGGGATGCTTCTGTCTCAGCCTTCCCCATACTCCCAGCAGGTTATTGTACCTAGCTTGCCAGCTGGACACCTTTAAAAGCTTGTCACTGGGGAATGATCACTGAACATAAACACAGAGTCATAGAATAAGTTAGGCTGCGAAGGACCTGTAAAGGTCATCTAATCCAGCCTACTCCTCAACCTCTGCTACATATGCACTGATGGTCTGAGAGATTCAGGGCAGTGTATGTTCAAAGTGTAAGCAATGAGTCCAGTGAACTGGAGGTGTCCGCAGAGAAATTGTATAGCGTAGACATCCAACATTAGAAAGACATGCGCGTGTAGTATGATTTGTACATGGACAATGAGCGCTGTCCTCAGATGTTCAAAGGAAAACAACTGTAAAATTCAGCCATCTCACTCATGACTGTCAAGGCAGCTGTAAAATATCGGAACTGCTTGGAAACCAACCTACCACAAACTTGCTAGGGGTATATAGGGCACACTATACAAATTACAGTTTTGTCACCTTCTGTTCTATAACACAAGGGTGGGAGTTGGGAGTTGTTCCTGTAGGAGTCCATGTGCACCTAGGAGATTCTGGCAGCTTTCGAAAGAAAAAGTGATGCCTTAGGTAACAAAATATCAGGGCATAGTTGCTATAGACAGAAAATAAATGTCAAAAGCAATTGCCTGAGGCCTTAATAATGGCAGGACAATATTGCCCTCACTGCAGACTTGTCAGTTTCTTCCAACTCTCAGCAAATGACTTCCCATGTGCCTATTCTGCAGCAATCCATAGTAGTGGCTGTTAGGTTACCATGAATGGTGTTACTGTAACAGCTATGATCCCTTGAAGGGGAAAGGCAAGAATGTGCTAGAGAAACCAAGTGACAGGTTAAACAGTGGGACGACTGTGGTAGCATGTGAAACAGGTAAATGAGTATGCATTAACACTTTAGGATAGTTGTCTCCTGTACTTCAGAATGGGTATCCTCCATATTTTGTTTTTCTTCCTCCAGGCTATGTTAAAACGAAAGAATGTCCCACGGACCCATATAAACATTGCATGAGATGTGGACCTGAACAATATCTAAATGAAGCGTCCCAGAAGCCACAATGCGATGCTTGTGTATCATGCACAAAAGGTAGTTGCTTTGCTTTCCCTCACATATAGCTCACACAGTGATGTCCTCTCTATATATTTTATTTACACTTTATTACATTTTATTTATGTAGAATTTTCAGCGGAATAATTATCCATCCTTGGCTTCTGTTTTAGAGAGCGGAATGCTACCTTGCACATGATCAGTGTCACTTCCTGTGTGACCTGTGACTGCCTGAAAATTCTCTCATCCAAATGCCATCTAAGTTTGATTTCTGCTTTCTGTCTTGTATTAGAAGCCATATTTCTACAGGCTTTGTCTGCAGGCTTCACCAATTATTCATGACTTAAGCTACCATGGCAAAGAGTGCCAACAGTTCGTTCTGTTTCCCGAGTCTTTGAACTGATGTTCCTCAGTATGGGGCCCCTCTTTGTACCTCCCTTGCAGGGTGATCCCTTCTTACTCCCACAATTTCTTCCCTACAGAATCTGACCTTGTGGAGAGAGCCCCCTGCTCCTTCAATTCTAGCCGTGTGTGTGAGTGCCGACCAGGCTTGTTCTGTCAGACCCCTGTTCTGAACACCTGCATACGATGCCAGCAGCACACTATTTGCAAGGCTGGTTTTGGAGTCAAAGTCAAAGGTAGAAATTCCTCCGTATTCTGATCTTGGCCATAGGCCTGGACCTGGTGCATTTAGATTGGTCCTCATTCACTTATTTTTCCTCAGGTACCTCAACAACTGATGTTTCTTGTGAAAAGTGCCCTCCTGGGACCTTCTCCGATCAGAACTCCAGCACCGACATTTGCAAGCCCCACACTGAGTAAGACCATGTTTTTTAAAAGTGACTAGCTAATTACTTAAAGCTAATAAAGGACCTGAAGGGAGACCTGTCAGCTCTTCTGGTGCAAAGTATACAGATTTATCTGGGGTACCTTTGTGCCTGTGTGCAGAGTTTAGAAGGCCTCTCTTTATACACAGCTGTTGCACAGCTTTATGTAGGAGGGAAGAAAGAATCTCTCTTGCCTTATTTTTAGTTTGCTGAGTACAGTGGGATTATACACGCATATGAGTACTGGGTTTGCATCCAGCTCAAGAAACAGTGCCATGGATGAGAAGACGGTTAATCACCTTGTCACTAAAAGCAAATAAATCCAATTGGCACAAAAATGACCAAAGGGATGTTTGTCACATAGGAAATCTCCTTATCTTCTACCATGCAGTTTCCTCTAGAGCTGATACACTATTCTCTTTCATTCCCTAGTTGTGCTAAGGTAAACAAAGTAGTGCTAAGCAGAGGAAATGCCACGCACGATCAAGTTTGCATGGACCGAGCTCCACACTTCACCCCAGGCACCTTGTCTGTGAGATTAAGCAATGAAACAAATAACTCTGATGCAAGAAGGCTTGAGGAGAAGCTGGTGACCACTGCTAGTATCCTTCGAAGTGACATAACAGCTGAAAACCCCAGTTCAACTGCTGAGGAGAAAGCTCTGGCTGGCACTTCTCCTATCTCAGATGTAGCCAAGGGGAGGACAACAAGGAGAGGTAACAAAGATAAAATGTTTGCCCTGTCCAGCAGGTTTTATTTGGATATATTTTTGGAAAAAGCTATTCTCATGTGGGAGGTTCCCACAGATCCCTATGGCTTGTGAAATGGTGTCCAGCAAATACACAGACGTACTTAATAGTTCCCCTTCTGCCTTTTCTCGGCCTCTCCTGTCCACCCTTTCCCTTTCTGTGCTATAGGTCTTGTTCTTTGGGGAGTGATTCTCTCTGTGATAGTGCTACTTGCGGGCATGCTGTTATTTTGGAAATGGAAGGTTTGCAAGAGACGGATCCTCATCCTCAAAGGAAAGCGTGAGTTTTTAAAGCTGTAATCCATAGCATGCTGTCTACTCTCCAAGTGTCTGCCATATGGGAACTAAAATAGCTCCTAAAATTTTAGGAGATCATTGAGGAAGAGAATATTTGCTAGCACCTGGTGAAAGCAGGCCAGATAAGGGTCCTAGGCAAACTGTTCGTTCAGCATCTTGGAGAACATTAGAGAAAGATTGAAGCAGCTGTGAAGTTATGGGGGAAGATACTACAAGCTGGGTGGGGAAATGGTAACCACTGATTTCTTCTTTCAGCACCAACACTAAATTAAGTGATACCTGTGTTTTCTGAAGTCCTTTGTGAGTATTTTTTGGTTCCTGGGACAGGGTTTGATGGCACTGAGCCGGAGAGGAAGAGAGATTTTTGCTGATAGGCAAAGCTGCAGAGTGCCTCTAAGTGAGGTGTCAGGTGTGCCTGCACATCCACATTCCCTCTTTTATGGAAAGCAGGAACGTGGATGTGGTTGGTTGGCTGGTTGTGAGCAGGGTGGCTGGCTGCTCTCACAGCTAGGCCTGTGGGTGTGGTAATGCTGTATGCCCCACGACGAGTTTTGCTAAATGAATGGTATCTTTTATCAGCACATCTGTATTCAGTCACCGAACACAAAGCCAGGTCCAGATCTCAAGGTGAGTGATTGAATGACCAGGAACTGTAATCCTTTTGCCTAATGAATAAGTGGCTAGTTTTAATATGCGGCTTTAACTTCTGGAACTTTAATTTAAAACATGGAACATTCTCATGTCAAACGTATGGATCTGACAGGCAAAAGGACAGTCCTGTTGTCTGTCGTGTGTCTGAGAAGTGCTGTGGATATGACAGTCCACTAGATGGCACTTTTTTCCCGTTGCACCTGAATGGTGGGGTGATGCAGCAGTGCTGGGAGGCCCTATTGCAAAAAAGCCCAGGTCCCTTGTTCGTTTCTGGGCGTTAACATCTGGAAGGTGTGTTAGCCACAACAACCTATACAAATCCCCTGGAGTAAATTCATTTTGCCTATTAACTAATCCTCCCTCAGCATTTCCATTTCCATTTACTGCCCTATTCTCTTGTGTTAGATTCTTCTAATCACCATATAGCTGAGCATTTTCTGCGCACTCATTCAGGAATGGGATTTAACGCTTTTCATGTGCAGCTCAATTTTCTCAAAATGGAGTTTTGCTCTCTCACTTGCATTATACAATAGATCCTGTTGCCGTGCAGCAATAAAAGGCTGACATGTTGAAAATACAGGTGGCAGCAAGTCAGAGTGAAGTTAGATAATAAGCCTGAGCCACTCAAGCTTCGTGGTACTGCAAAAGGGTGCTGTATGCTCCATTCTTCCCACCTTCCTCCTTCTTTTCCCTCCCTCTGTCTTTGCATAAAATCCCCTCCCCTTTGTACTACCTTTTAATATTAATCTGACTATACAATGAACCGATCCAACTTGTTATTCCAGTTGAAATTCCCTTTTTTCTAAGTAAATTGTTCAGCTCAACTAGCAAGTGTTATCAGTTCATCATGTGGTTAGATGAGCGCCAGTTGTGGTGTGGCCACAGGGGTGGCCACAAAGCATTTTGGGGAAAGCAGGACCTCATACTCTTGTCAGCAACACAGCACTGGTTCATCTCCATATTACAAAAGTGTGCCCTCCGTGGTAAAGAAACCATAAGGCAGATGGGTTAGGCTGCAGAGTAGGTTTAGGATATGGCCAGGTGATATATCAGAGCAAATATTAATGTTCTTTGGATTGCTGTGAATTTTCTTCTGATATCTTTTCTTCTTTCCATTACAGGTTCTGATCTAGTGAACAAGTATGCAGTAAGTGTGAATGATATTCCAAAAGAGACCACTTTCCCTTCCATTGCGAAAAATGAATGATGTTTTCAAATGTACTCTTTAAAAGTGCCAGCCTTTTTTTTTTGGACTTTTCACTGTAACCTCTATGTCTTGGGCATACACTCCTGCAGTGTTTAATGTGGTATGAAGTAATGTGATGCTGCCACTCTTGCTTGTGAAGGGAGTATTTGGCTTGGCCCTATGCCATTCATGTGTCATTCCATGGGACAGAAACCAAAATCACAGGAAGAGCATGCCTTTGCATCAGTCTCGTCTTCTCTTGCTGCTCCAGTCACTCAAGTGGAATTCAGACACTTCTGTCTCCCTCCGTGTTCCTTTCCCCCTCTATAGGGCTGGACCTGGCCATAATATGGGCACAGGGAGGGTGGGCTGTTAGCCCACGGTTCTTTGGAAATTATTAAACATTTCCATCCAGGCTGGGAGTTTGTCGCTAAGCAAAAAAAAAAAAAAAGAAAAAGAAAAGAAAAGACAGTTGGCTCTTTAGATGTTGTACGTGCGTGCACACACAAGATATTTCTCATTCTGACAAATCTGGTTGCAGTTAGCTATCTTAATTTCAACATATCATTGCTGATTCCTGAGTTGTGGGGAGCTTCCACTCTTGCTTTCATAAGAAGTCAGACATATGAAAGAGTTTTAAATTCCACATTTCAAATTCTTACTTTATTTTTTCTTTCAAACCTTCTGGAAACAGAAACAGAGCTAGGAATCATCAAGGGTTTGCGATGCGGGACATTTAGCTTTTCTCAGATTCTATCTCCCCCTTTAAAGGACTGTTTGTAATTAATTCTGGAACAGATTTCTTCAAATAACACTTAGTCTGAGATTATTTCTCCTATCTGCCATTGTACTGAAGCAATTGCATTTTGAAGTTCAACCAGTTCAGCCTCTGGCTTGTTTTGTTTTTCCATAGGAAGGTCTTTGCAGAATCTAAGAGGAAGTTGAACCGTGTATTTTCAGTTTTGACTGTTTGACTCTCTCACCATATGGCTACACATCTGTACAGATTTGTCCTCTGATATTGAATTATCTCACTATTAAATATGGATAATATCTTGTTAAAGTTCTCCCTGAACAAATCCCTTCAAAATTCTTACATCCAGCATCTTTCTTTATTACATGTGTTATACTCTTTACTGAAATGTGCCACTAAGCTGCAGCCTCCAGAATACAGCTACTACTACTTGGCAAGATAGCAGACTCTGCAACAAAGCGTACAGTGTAAAACTTGCAAGGGAGGCAAATTTTGTCCAAGAATGCGGCACTTCATTCAAGGAAGTTAGTCTCAGATTATTTTATGTTCTCATCCTATGCAGAATAAAGGACCTTGGCCCCAATGAATGTAGGTCTGATGGCTTACTTTTAAAGCACAGGGATGCGACCTCTGGAAATTCATTGGACTTCTCAATACCTCAATTTACTTGCCAAATGGAAAAATGATATTTAATGAATGTGTGTAAACAGCTAAGTCAGATTTGCAAAATGGCAAATAGTTAGATTTACAGAGGTACCTAGGCCTCAGAGCTGCAGACAAGGCAGTGGAATGTACCAACGCATCCGAGCAGGTTCAGGAAACTGGATTTCAGTGGAAGTGAGGGACAGAACCTGCTCAGTCAGTCCTGAAAATCACACTGAAAACCCACCTGTGACTTTAGGCATATAAATACTATTTTAAACTATGACCTTAAATGATGCAGGAACCTAGTTGAAATAAACTTGTATTCATGTATCAGTTAGGCAGTTTTGAAAATTTTTTTCCCTGACAGTGGTCTTGTGAGGCACATTATGTTATTCTGACTGCCTCAAAAGACCTATTGCAATCCTCACAGTGTTATTTTTAGGTTGATCCCAAGTCTACTTTCTTCTTTATATTGGCAGAAGATCTTGCTGACTCCTGACAAAGAGCCAGAAGAGAAGGAGTTAATTGACAGCACCCTCCCTTTGGAAACCAACAACAACTTGGTCCCCAGCACAGAAAAAGCATGTAGTCCTGATCTGAGTCTGACTGATGTGACACAGAGCAATGGAAATGCCCCAGATTGCCTTGTGGATTCTCGAGTGAGAGACCATACAAATAACCGAATTGGTGAGTCTTGCATTTTTTAACTTCATCGTTTCAGTTTTTTAACCATGAGCACAACATGTCATTCTGAAATTATTATGAAGCTGCAAAAGTATCCAAAGCCTTTGCAACATAAATTCTGGCATGTTTATTCATTTGAATATAATGCTTTCTTATTTTCACACTGACTTAGTTTCTTATGAACCTGGCAGAAAAGTGCTTTGTTTTTCTTCTTCTTTTTCATTCCTGAAAATGTGATTTTGCAGAAGAAATTTGAAAACTGAAATATTTCATCTTGAAAATGTTGCTGCAATATTTAATAAGTATTGTATTTCACATGCCTCATGCTATCATTTTCTTCTATTGGTTTCACAGTAACAGCTTCAAATATATCTCCCACTGGTATCCTGGGAGAAGACCGCCCCGTGAAAGTCTTTGACCATAGCACAGGGTAGGAAATAAAGTCTGGCAAGGAAGCTTGCAGGAGAATTGTTGCATGAGACACAATCTGCACGAGACATCCTGGCAACATTTCCAAACCAAATTTTGATGGCATTTGAAGGTTTTTTGAAGGACAAAAAGAGTTCTAATGCAAAATTCCACAATTTCTCTTACAAAAAGTCACTCAGTTAAAACCCATTTCCTACCCAAAGAAATGTTGGTAGATGATAAAGAGTGAAAGAAACCTGGAACGTTTTTTCCAGACCTGGTCACTTTCAGCTTTCCATATATAGTATTTTTTTGGTATCAATCAAATCCAAAGAGTTAAAAAAAATAGCTGCTTTCTTGGGATTTCTGAAATCCAGCCCTGCTTCTTTGGGACAAAAGCACAGGAAGCATATGGAAAAGTAAAAGCAGAAAATGCTGCTTCTGTTTTCCGTGCCACAGACCATGCTACAGACCAAGAGATTCTTTTGTTACTCTAAGCAGTTCAAAGAACAGACCTTTGCAGAATGATACCTCTCTGTCTGGGGAGAGAGAGTGCTCTCTTGAGGAGGCAGAATGGTCAAAGGAAATGATCAAGGAAATGACCAACATAATTCTCTGCCATTCCCTACTCCTCCTGTTTCCCTCCTCTGTATATGTTGCTTGCAGAGAAGATGAAATATCATTTCCTTTCCTTCTGTCAGACCCTGGGCCGAATTCATAAAGGAGCATGGGCACACAAGGCAAAAGTTACCTGCCAGCCTGAAAAAATACTGGAACTTAGCCCAGTTGTATGGCTAAGTCGCTATTTCTTGTGTCTCCGTTTGGAGCAAGCTGTATAATTTTGAAATAAACATTTCCTCTGGCACTCAGACAAGTAGCAGAGACAGACCCAAGCCAAAAAATAACACTTAAAGGAAATTCAGGCTTAAAAACAATGTGGAGAATATAAATTGGCTCTGTTTTGCATGGGGGATTGGACCGGATGACCTCCAGAGGTCTCTTCTGACCTAAATCACTCTATGATTCTGCGAAGAACAACTAACTATTGCGATGGCTAAGGGTGCCCATGCATGGAAGTAAGAGCTCTCATTTCCCTCAGAGTGAACTTATTTAATCACTAAAATGTATTAAAAAAAACCTTTGTACCTTTTCTCTCTTCAGCCTATTAATTTATTTTTAAGCTTTTGTATTCATTTTCTGAATTAGGTACCTCTGTACAGTGTGGAGCGAGGGAGAGGGGAAGCCTCTCTCTTGCAGAAATGGTTAAGTAACAGGTCAGGACGGCCAGGATCCCAGAAGGTATAAACTGGGCCTGTGAAAAGTACTTAAGACTTAGATACATTTGGATTTGGCTTTGGCTCTGCTTGACAATAAGAAGGAAGGTGGAATTTCTGGGTAGCTCTCATTCTAAGCTGCCAGAAGAGCAAGATCTTTAGGTTAGATTTAAAGTTTGATATTGTGAAACAACTTTTCAGCTTTAGAAAATAACTTCCTTCTTTTTTTTTTTTTTTTGGCATGTACGTAACGTGGAAAGATCTTTGTGAGTGACTGGTACTCTTTCAACAACAGGGCATCAAACAGTCTGAAAAATGTGTCACCTGTGGAGACCACAGATTCTATGTTACACTATATTCACACTCTTATTATGTCCCAACAGATGCTAATGAACAACAGTAATTGTTGCACTTAGCTCATAGAACAGGGTTCCTAGAGATACCTTAATGTGAAGCAGAAGTTCAGCCTTTTTTTTCCCCCCCCCCAATCTGTTTCAGAGTCTACTGGGGCCTTCTGGCATCCGGTGTGAACTTTGCAGTAGCTCTGAATCATCCTTCTCAAGTCACATGGCTTTTACTTCTGTGTCTATGTCTTCATCTTTTAACATATGTCTCACCAGCTCCAGCATTGTCAGGGTACAGAATCTCCATAATAAGCAGTTCCCAAATCAGGTTATTTTGGTCTCACTAGAGCTGACCTTTCCTTACTGAATACTCTTTCTTTTTTTCTGTGAGTGATGGACTTGGGATGAATGTGATGATTTGACGTACCATCCCCAAATATCTCCAAGCAATTGTGAACAATACCTGCAGTGTCTGATCTACAGCATCCTTTTGAATACAATGTAAGCTCTTCAAGCCATAGCAAAGGCCTCCTACTCCTTTACCAAAAGGAGTAGGCTCAACATGTTGAGCACTAGTTCAAGTATATCCTGGAAAAATTTGTAACTGACTCTCCATTGGAAAGAAACTGATTTATCTGCTGGCCCTAAGACCCTGGGTCAATTACCCGGAATTTCTGTATACTGCTGATTTTCACCCAAAGGCTGCTTTTACTGTAGATATTGTTGCTCCTAAAAACAGCAGGAGCATAAATCTTGGGCTCTCCATGACTATCTTCTTCCAGGAATTAATTAATTGTTTCTTCTGATGAACTCTTGCAAATATTTCACTGCCTTTTCTAGTTCCTCTTTCTCCTGTGGTCCCAGCACGTCTACTTGATCACCAGGGAGCTAGATCTACATGATCTAAAATGCACGGAGTCCCCTTGACAGTGCTCCAAAACCAGACAGTGTAGTATGAGATGTCCAAGCCATCTTTATCACTCAGTGTGTTCAGTGCTTGCTTTGATCCCAAAATGAAAAGTACCTTATAAATAACCAGTGAAACAGACAACTCATAATATGTGAATTCCAAAAGCTTTACTGGGTTAGCAAATTCTGTGTTTTCACAGTGGTAGGCCTGATTTGAATAACTCTGATTAAAAAAAGAAGAAAAGAAAAGAAAAAGTAAGTACAGCATCAAAATTTTGCAGGAAAAGGAACCATCTCTAGGGACAGCAGTGACTGCTAACTATGCTCAGCACTATTTTTTTCCTTCCTCAGAAAAGATATACATCATGAAAGCCGACACTGTCATTGTGGGGTCCATTTCAGAAGTGCCTAGTGGCAAGAACTGTGCCGTCAGAGGATGTGAAAGTGATGTTGATGTCCAGGGAAACATGGAAGAACAGGAGCTGGCAATGCACTATCCAGAGCAGGAGACGGAATCTTTTCCCGGAAATGACGTCATGGTTCCCATCGAAGAGGAGGGAAAGGAATTTCGTCACCCTACCACCGCCACCGAAAAGTGATACCCCATTGAGAAGAGCTTGACATGTGAAGCTACAGAAATAGCCAGTGTGACAATGATCCTGAATCTACTACAAGGGAGGTGAATGCATATTGTCTTAGGTAATCTGAAAAGAAACACATTCAGAGAAAGAGCGCTAGAACCTATTTCATCTAACAGATGAGAGGATTGTCCAAAGCAGTGAGAAGTATTGGCCTTCATATCTCACATCAAATGTTTCTCTCTTTTCCTCTTATCTCTCCCAGTATCATGCTGGAAATGAATTTGAATCAAAGCTACGAAATTCAGAGAACTTCTGGATACCTACTCAAGTTTCACGGCTTGCTTCCCCTGCATGAAGGAATGGATTAAAACCTACATCTGATTACTTCTACTAGCTGTGAAAATTCTGGCCAGAATCCGGAGTTAAGCCTGAGATCCTTCCATGTTTCACATGTTGTTTCTATTCCAGTATTACCAACACTTCCAATTTTATCATGTGTTTTGCAACATCTGCTGTTTTTCTTAGGGCCTCAACTCTTGAATGAGAGTGACGATAATTTCTGTTTTCAGTAACACAAACAGAACTCTTGAGTTTATGGACTTCACGTTCCTTGAGAAAGCATGATCAAAAGGTGCCTCACGGGCTCAGAAGACAGAAGGCAAATAAAACTAATTGCAATCTGTCATACTTTAGGCCAATCTCTGTATTTTTTGAGGTCTGATTCATGGTTTTTGATTATTTCAAATCATCAGTAAGGCTAAAAGTGGCCTCTTGTGATGAAAGCCAAACTGTTCTCAACATTTAGATGTCGAACAAACTAGGGACTTAGCTGAGTGTGGAGTTTATAAAAAGGGAGAAGGAGGAAATAAACTGTTTTTCAACAAAAAGCAAGGAATTGAAAAATAGGCACAGTAGTTATTTCCTATAACATTGTTAATTTCTGCTTGTTTTAGAAGAATTGCTTATAATCATCTGGGTGACACTGATTTGCATATCTCTGTTCTTAAAAAAAAATTCTGTTTTATTTTGTGGTCAACTGGCTTGTCTTACGCAAATTCTTCGTCTTTTTTGCTGCTTGTTTGATAACTGTAAATGTAATAGTGCTGACTATATTTTTGCACAGGACAATGGAAAATGAGCAAGATGACAAAGTGTGCCTTAATAGTCAAAAAAAGGAACCACAAAAACAATTACTTGCTTTGCAGTTTTATCCTGGGCAGAGTACCGTAATAACAGCTGCGCAATTTCAGTGTCTTTTGTCTGAGGCACTTATCTTAAAACACACAGAAGGAACGTAAGAACATAAAAAACACCCTCTTGGGCCAGACTAGCGCTCCAAGTAGCCCAATATTTTGTCTCTGACAGTGGCAGTAGGAGATGCTATTTAGGTAGAGCACATAAGCCTGGTTAATATCTGCTGTTTGTACTCCTCATACTTCTGCAGCATCAGCTGTAATTGGACTAAGGATTTTAGAGAGTTTGTCCTAGCCTTTCATATTAATTGATGAACCTCTTGCCATTTATTTTCCTAATCTCTTTTGAATATCCTGGTACAACTTGCCTCCACGATCTCCTGTGGCAACTGATTACAGATATTTACCATTCACTCGGTAAAGATGTACTTTTACCTGTTTCAGACTGACCTCCTCCTTGTTTCAGTGAATATCACCAATTTGTTATTACAGAATTTAGTGCAATACTGAGTTGCAACAATGTTTTACAATCTCTTTATCCACTGCCTTTATGATTTGTGGTCATATTCCCCTCAGCCTCCAAACTGAGTTCCCACCTTTTTATAATCTTCTTGTACATTAGTTTTTCCATTACCTTGGTCATTTTAGTTGATCTCTTCTATATCTTTTCTAACTTCACAATGTTCTTCTGGAGTTCTGGAGACCCAAACTGTATACTGCATTCAAGAAGAGGATTGGCCAATATTTTAAACGGTGGAAAAAGGATAATTTCTGTTTTGTTCTCTATGCCTTTTTTGATGTGCTCACCAGTTTGTTGGCTTTTTTGGCTGCCCCTGCACGCTAAGCAGATGATTTTAGAGACTTATCAAGGATGACTCCGAGATGACTTTTCTGAATGATAACTGCTAGCTGCAAGTTCAGCACCAGGTAGGTCTGGTTTAGGTTATTTTTCCCTAAATGAAATACCTTGCATCTACCTATACAGAAGCCCATTTGCCACCTTTTTATCTGCCTCCTCAGTTTTTGTGAGTGCCTTCTGGATTTCCTTGCCTTGTCCATTTCATGTAACTACCCGAAGCAGTTTAGTACTGCCTGCAAACCTGGAGATTTCACTGTGCTCACTTTTCTCCACATCACTGATGAAGATTTTGAATAAACCTGATGCTAGTGCTGATTCCTGGGGAAACCTGCTGCTAACTCTTCTCTATCCTGAAAAATGACCGTTGTGCCAAGCTCTTGCCTTCATGTCTTTTAAACCAACCATAACTTTCCTATCCTTTAAGCTTTAAGCAAAATCCATAAAATGACCTTCCCTCCAAACCAATGCAATATAGTTTTTTTGATGACTTTTTGCAAGGTATGCAACCTTGTCAAAGGCTTTTTGAAAATCTTAATGTAGTGTGTCCACTGGATCATCTTTATCCATTAAACCTCTCAATATAGGGGAAAATATGTTATCAAAATTTTTCCACTGAAGAAACAAACACAGAGGGGTTTTCACTTTCCTGGAACCAAAGCCTCAAAGATGAAGTGTGAGAACCTCAGCATTATGGGATCCAGCCATTGACTTTCATCAGTGGATAATCTACCTATAGCACACCTGAAAACTGGTTCTAGTTTTAGGTGTTGCTAGTTCCAGGATTTGCTTCTTGAATTCCATTCTTCTCTGCAAGCCTTGGACATAAAATAATTTCTAAAAATAACTGTTGTCACTGCAGGTGTATGTATTTCATCTACTGAGTCTTGCAAGAGAGGTAATTAGTGAATCCTTTCTGTCTGCTTCTGCGTTTGTACTTACTGTGTTTCATTCAAAAGATAAGCTGCTCCTAATGCTCAGATGGATATCTGAGACTCTGCTTCTTTCAGCTGCCTGTATCGCCCTGTCAATGGCAGTTACAGGAGGTGAAGGAGGAGGCAAAAGCAAATGAACATGTTTAAAGTGCTTGTTGTGTAGCAGAAGGTCAGGTCAGCCAGCACTGACATAGAACAGCGATGCTAGGAGGGAGCAAAACTGAGTAGGACAAACACCGGCCACCCTTTCCTCGCTTCCAGTCAGAGGAGCTCACTGTTTTTCCAGTGCCTACAATTCATTCTAAGCAAACATAGGAATTCCTAATTCGTTTTGGAGACCACCAATTTGTGCATCCACCAGCTGTGAATAACCACGCTCACGTGGCCGTGACCGTTCAAGGACGTTCGTTCTGTACCGACCGAGCTCGTCGTATATTTCAGTTCTGTGTATAACTCCCATCTTTTTACTGGAACAGCTTATTGATGAATCACAGGCGTTGTAACCTGCCCGATCGATGGCAATCGGTTACGTTAACAACACTGGCAACCTTTGAATGAAAAATTAAATGGATTTCAACCCCTAGCCACCCTTCGCTTGTCTCACACGCCCACGTTTCACGGCTGCTACTTTCC